TCAGTCGCAATGTGACTTTGACTTTGACTTGCGCGCGCACACTCCGCTAGTAGAAGCGAACGCCCAATCATATATATATGTATTTAGTTTTAAATAGAGTAAAGTCAAATGTACATATATTTTTTAGTTGTTATCTGCTTGGTGTATATACGAGGTTCATCCCCACGTCATGTAACTGAATCTCGCCTTTGTATTGTACTTTTTGAAGCACCAAAAAATGCATAGTCCCACTTCACTTCAGTTGCCTTTCTACTTCATCTTCTTCCAAACAACGCACCATTGCCATCTTAGTATGATATGAAATTACAATATTCGAATTCACCATGACTCACAGAGAACTGAATGCGCTCTGTACCTCAGCTACAATGCATGTGTTTCTTTACGATTTTAGAAAGGGCAGTATTTTATCTCAAATGAAATGGAAGGGCTTTGCACTGAAGAAGGAAACAAAGACCCTGTAACCTTCCTCGAACTGCAGTACTTTCACTTTTCTGTCCTTTAGTCAAAAGACTCGAATATCTGAAGAGGGCAACAATGATGTAAAACTTGTCAGCTGAGAACCAAACGACGTTATTGCTTCCAGCTGGTTTATGGCAGCAGAGAATGCGAAAATGTTTGAAGTTTTAGAAGCAGGAGTGATTTTATAGTGCAGAACTACTCTATGAAAAAGCAAGGAACAATTTTTACATTATGCATCAAAATTACAAGAAAAAATTTAAAATGGAGTATAACTTCTTTGTTTCAGTATTTTTAAGGCGTAATTGTAGAAAAGTACTAGACCCATTGCTACTAAACTCAGTAAATCCGAGAAATCAACCCTCAGCAATGCAAAGGAATGACCCAGACACAAGGCACCAACATGACTGACCTTAGCCAACTGTTAGGTTGTAAACAAAGTAACAAAGGAGAGAGCAGAAAGAAAGGTTGACAGTGGGGCACATGAACCTCGATCATCCTGAAGTCAGAATTTAAATGTGTATAATTTAGACCAGAGAAGGGCAGACGTTTATGGCATCTTAAAAAAACTGTGTTAAAGGCTAACTGTTAATAATTAGAGATCATAAGAGTGTTTATGAAGTATTATAGGATGAAAGTTTGTTTGGGATATGCAATAAGAAGCGCCTATTCAGTATGTTAAACGTCATGTAATTCAGTATGTAGAACGTCATGTAATTCAGTATTATCTGATTAATGCAGAAGTGGTGTAGGATCTCCTTCACTAATGGCGGTGATGTACAATATCTTGCTATAAGGGTAAAAAGAATGTATAATTGTATTGTATTGTATTCCTTTGTTGTTTCTAATTGATTCCTGTGTAGTTTGACTTGTTTGTATAAGCTGTAGGGTCACCTATATAGTGCAAGACGTAATGTTAGACAATTCAAGTTTAAATCATCAAATTACGACTTAGGGGAGTGTGACGCTGGACAACCCTAGCCCTTTTTCTTATGATTATAAATGATTGTGAACTTTATTTACAATTGATTCTCGGTAATTTCAAATCCAAAATCTTATATTTCGATATTACTGGAACTTTATCATGATCTATAATATCGTATTCCATTGTCTGGGACGTCCAATACGGTGATTATGTGGACATTTCTGGATTCTGGCAGGGCCAAGGAGTCCGAAGTTCTGGCACTTACGAGCAGTCATTAATTTAGCTCGTTATAGTTGCCTGTGAATGAGGACCACTCAAGGGCCATTATGCTTAGTTGTTTCGTTCAGACTTCCCTACGGGAGATGGGACGGCATGTTCGTATATGTTCGCACCGTGGAGAATTCGAAATATTTTCGAATTCCCATCGTGCGATGTGCAAGCCATTTCTACAGAATAGAATTTCACCATATTCTGAAGTGCACGGACGTGAACCTTGCACGATCCGAGACTTTCATAGTTTGCAGATCAATTAATAAATTGTAATTGTAAGCATTAACGTATAATAAATTAACCCGGACCTGGTGAGGTGGGAATATGAAACAGAAGTTCAACATCGGTACCATCCGTGGCCCAGAGATTATCAAGATTCTGATGACTGGACTTATAAAAGCCAGCTAAATATTAAAGTCCAAACACAGCCTTTATTTCACTCATGTCAGTCTTTTTAACACTGTCAATTTTGGAGTAATTTACTTGTTTTCTTTCTATTTCATTCGTATTCTTCAAAATTAGGCCTGTCATGTCATCAGGGGAAAAATATCTCCCAGCAATCTAAAATTGATTTTGCATTTTTTGCATTGCCCACAACACCAGGTGCTTGGCTAACTATGTTATGTGCTCGAGTTCTTATTTGAGATCCTAACTTGTTTTTACTCCACCTGGTTTACTTATCTTTTGCACAAATAAAAGGCTCCCTTTATGGATTTTTCCTCACAGTCTTGTTCTGTATCAGACTCATGATTACTGAGTAATTCTAAATCAGTTTCACTATCATCATCCCCGCTTAATGGCTCCTCGTCTGTCAAAGCGTCTTCTATAAGCTGACATAACCTCTATTCGTCCTGCTCGTAACTTATCTGGTAAAAATATATTATTCTCAAAATAATAACTCTAACTACATATTTACGAAAACGTTTTGCTTATAGTTGGTGTGTAAAAATGTAGAAGACAAAGCATAACGATACTATTTTAGTAGAATATACATAAAACAACCTACATTTCGGAAGGAAATATAGTCAAACTTTTGGTAAGGTGGGGTCTGGTGGAGCCCAGCACATTTTACGCGTCTGTACACTAAACTTTCCTGTCGTCTATGGCGTCGAGTAACGGGTTATGGGAGGGGAAGCTACACTGAGGCACGACTCACTGCCACGCGTTCTTAAAAAGTTACAGTCAAATTAAAATCTTTATGGTCTGTGAGAATCCACCTTACTAACGCCGGAATAAACAGCGTGGTTTGAGGAAAAACAAGTGAATCAGCATTAAGCTGGATCAACTCCCAGAATACCTCTTATCCCTGAGTCACATGCTTAACGAACCAGCTAGTTTCCCGTATCTATACCGACCTGTGAGGACAACTTGCAGTGATCATCATACACACTCCTAAGGTAGAAACAGGTGTAGCAGGGATAGCACCATTCCGACTGAGCTGATATTACAAGGGCTGCTTGCAAAGAGCGGTGTTAAAGTCGATGATTCCTGGCGTTCTGCTGTCATCACCGTCATCACAAGGTGGGGAACGTGGAGTGAAGGAACAATTTACTATTGCGATCATTTTCAGGTAGTAAAGAACACTGCAGATTCAATGAAGACGGAGGATGCGAGGGCAATTGAAGCTGCTCAGGAGCAGTTCTCGTGCGGCGAAATGGAAGCACAGCTGGCCGTCATAAAGGCAAAGTTCTGTTCCTTGACAGAAGGAATCCAATGTTTGCAGGAGAAAGGAGCAACGCTAGAAGCTTCGCTAGTACTGAGAAAAAATAGCCATTCATTTGGAGAAAGTGTCAGGGAACATTGGTACAATGATGTCAAGAAACATGAAAATGGCATAGATAAAATCTCAGATTATGAAACATTATGCATCATTTCTCGATTTCTGACAGGAGAGTCTTTGAGCACTTTCAGTATTGGAGAACTTATAGTTAGTAATTTGGTACACCTCAAATACGCTCCCATAATTTCTGCAATTATAGAAAAGCGTTTCTGAAGCAGTACAATGTGCTGTTGAACAATATCTGCTCACTCAACTTCCTCATGTAAGGCTTAAATATTTGAATATACACCCTATATGTATACTTCATAAGAGTTATAATCCGATGAAGATCGTATTAAATATTATATAATATATATTATATATTTTTTGAAATCCAATCATATCATGCTTAATTTTCAACATAAAGAAGAGGAAGAACTAACATGAGTAACAATGAGTTAACAGTGTAATTGAAGATAAGCACTTCAAATTAAAAAATAGTGGATTCTCCATGACATATTACATTTTGTCACATTTTTAAAAGTTAGGTCATTTTTCTAGATTTTCTCGGTCACTTTATAGGTTACTTTTAAAAATATTTTATGTCGTCAAAATCCAGGCCCTGATGATCTCATTGAAAATTATATTTGGACATGTAGACCCATTGCTAGGCAACGTCTCGGAAAATAAATTCCTGCTGGAGCCAACACGCGCAACAATAGGACATCCACTGCTATACAACGGATCAGTAGTCACGCTTCCGTAACAAATAGATACTGTGATTTCTGCGTGGTCCGTGCAAAATGGTAATAAAGAGGTGTCCAGCAGCATAGAGTGAAGTGAAAAATCGAGTGCCTGGACGCCAGCCTGCGGGGAGATGAGCTTTGGATTGAACTGAGTCGAGTCTGCGGAATTTGCGGCTGCAGTATAATGGCAAGAAAGGGATTAAGCTGTGAAAAGAAAATTTACTGTGGGATTTCAAATAACAGTGGGTCTGTGAAAAATCCGATACATGGATACATGGATTAACGGTGAAGTGTGATCTGTGTAGAACAGTGATAGCTCCTTAATGCCTGTAGTTCCGAGTACTGGATACAAGGTGCCAAAAAATCAAACCATCTGTAACGCCCTGTCTGCGTTACGTCAGAGACCCCCCCCTTTTTAATACCTTCCCCCTTCCACTATTCCACTTCCTGGTTCTGGACGGCTGAGGTCCAAAGCCAGTGATTCATTCTGCTGTGGGAGCTTGAACTGTTCACTCGATTCACTCTTTTCCTGGTCTGTACGATTTTTATTGGTTGATTGCCGGAGGCCTATTACCTCCAGGGACTTACATTGTACTCGCATTTAGCATTTAATATATATATTGTCATTTGATATATTTGTTATTGTGCCTTTGAGTTGGTACGTCCTACCCAAAAACCAAATTTCGGTCTTCAGGACCTTTCACGTTACCAAGTAGTAGCAGAACGTGGTTTCGATCGAAGGAACTCTGGGTTATGGGCCTGACATATAAGTCACTCACAACACCCCTACACATGAAAATATTTATTTCCAAGAATATTATAATAAGCAAATGTTGAACAAATAGAAGAATGATCACAAATTTAAAATCATATATAATTCCGGAAACATTATATTAAGAAAATGTTGATCATATGTAAGAATAACCACAAATTCAAAACTACACTGTAAAGAATTCAAATAATGAACAAAATAACTGAAGAATCATTCTATTTCATACAACGAAACTAAATTGCCACTCAGTACTCCTCCTCAGCGTCTTCCACTTCAAAACTATCCCTGCCAACTTCTTCGTAATCCTTCTCCAAGGCAGCAAGATCCTCACGAGCCTCTGAGAATTCACCTTCCTCCATGCCCTCACCAACATACCAGTGAACGAAGGCACGCTTAGCAAACATGAGATCAAACTTGTGGTCCAGGCTGGCCCAGGCATCGACAATAGCTGTAGAATTGGCCAACATACACACAGAACGCTGTACCCCCGCCAGGTCACCTCCTGGGACCACTGTCGGAGGTTGGTAGTTGATGCCAACCTTGAAGGCAGTTGGACACCAGTCTACGAACTGGATGTTGCGTTCGGTCTTAAGTCTGCGTATTGATATATTCACATCTCTCGGCACAACATCTCCTCGGTACATCAAGCAGCAGGCCATGTATTTTCCACGTCGTGGATCACACTTCAGCATCTGGTTGGCAGGGTCAAAGCACGCATTTGTAATGTCTGCCACAGTGAGCTCCTCGTGGTATGCCTTCTCAGGACAGACGACAGGTGCATAAGTGACCAGAGGGAAATGTATACGTGGGTACGGAACCAAGTTGGTCTGGAATCCAGTCAGGTCAAAATTCAGTTCACCTTGAAACCGAAGAGGAGCTGTGATCGAGGAAAGTATCTGACCAATGAGTCTGTTGAGGTTGGTGTAGGTAGGGCGGTCCATGTCCAAGTTCCGCCGGCAGATCTCATAAAGTGCTTCATTATCAAAGGTGACGGCGCAGTCAGAATGTTCCAGAGTGGCGTGGGTCATTAGGACTGAGTTGTAGGGCTCAACAACACCAGTGCCGACGTGTGGGGCAAATTCCAGTTTGCACTTCTTTCCATAGTCAGTAGTGAGCCTTTCCATTAGCAATGATGCGAAACCTGAGCCAGTGCCACCACCAAAGGAATGGAAGATCAGGAAGCTCTGAAGACCATTGCACCGGTCAGCCAGTTTGCGGATGCGGTCCAGTACCAAGTCCACAAGTTCTTTGCCAATCGTGTAGTGGCCTCGGGCATAGTTGTTTGAGGCATCTTCCTTTCCAGTAATTAACTGATCAGGATGGAACAGCTCCCGGTATGTGCCTGTGCGGACCTCATCTGTGAATACATCAGTCTACGATCAAATCTCAATACACACATGCAATCCTACAGTACACATCACATGTCTGGAACTCTTATTGCTGCTTAAATGCTCTAGGAAACTGCTGAAGGATGATTATTCCTGATTCTGCATGAGTACTCAACATGTACAAATAGATATAACAATTTAAAACTTGATTTGGTCCGAAATTTTGCTGCTGGTCTTTAAAACTTATCCCTCCATACACCTATAAACTCGATTCTTTCACTTGAAAATTAGTAAGTACAAGAAGAACTACGAGTTATCTTTCAGAAATCAACGTTTTATTCATTCTTAAAAACACGTCTAGCTTACACATCAGCAAACAACAGTATTCTATATTTACATGTGGAACTCTAAAGATGTCCATATATATGAGAAACATTTCACAGAATTTCAGGCAAATGCTACATAGGTAAAATTAAGTTGCCCATGTGCCTAATTAAATAAGCATAACATTATGAAGATACGATACACTGATAAAGTGGGTAGGACTTGGCCATCCAGCCAGTAGCCCACTGATACACCGACTCATCCATCCTGGCTCTAATTTGTACCTCAACAGAATAGAAATTTCTTTTGTTATACGAAACCAAAATCCAATTAGAATGGTGTTCAGATTCAGACAATTGATGTACCCTTAGAAAGTTCAGTATAACAGCATGTCTTGCGTTCAGTAACTTAAAATTACGTCACCCAATCAAAATAGCTTTCTTCGCAGGTGGGCTCTTAACATAATACACCTCATTAAGGCACTCAGACAGACACAGGTTCGTTCGAATCATACAGGGTTCCCTTATTTCCTTAACAAGTTGCTATGTTTTCACAACAGAGCCTCCTTGTTAAAAAGAAGGCAATTTGTCTCATCTGGCATTTGAAAATATGTCAGTTATTACTGTTGTTTTGCAAGCTGTCTACTTCACATCGTGCAATTGCTTCCGCATTTCACCGTTAGGCTGCAATGTCACTACTTACCACTTGATCAGTAGTTTAACTTAAATGGTGGAATGACTTCAGCTCTTATGTGTAGAATATGTAGAAAGTACTGATAGTGATATACATACCTACTACTGTAGGCTCCAAGTCCACCATTACTGCCCTTGGAACAAATTTTCCTGCACTTGTCTCACTAAAGAATGTGTTAAAGCTGTTATCACCGCCTCCATGAAGAGTCTTGTCAGATATAATTTGACCGTCAGGCTGAATACCATGTTCAAGGCAGTACAACTCCCAGCAAGCATTGCCAATCTGCACTCCAGCTTGCCCAATATGGACTGAGATACATTCACGCTGAAACAAGTATTTTATATGGCCTATGTTATTATTTTATGAAAATGTCAGTATCCAGACGGTACAGGAAATCCATATGAGTCATCTTGTTCTGCGCCTCTTTGACCGAACTGCAACATTTTTTATTATTTCTGCGGCTTCACATGACACAGTTCACAACCCACACAACTGGGAAGTCAATTCGCACTGTGGCAGCCTTGCAGTCTGATCTACTTCATCATAAATTGTGTAAGTCTCTTTTAGCTATTAATATTCTAGATTCTGAACCATTCTCTTCTTAAACGCATGTCACATACACGCTCACAAGAAGAAAACTTCAAGTAAAAATTGAACATTCAACCTTTCTGTGTACCTCAAGTTTTTTTTGGGGGGGGGATTTTTTGCCTTGCCCGCCAGGGAAATTCCATCTGCACTCAGTTACTTATACCGATAATTCTGACTTACTGCATATTTACCACCGTCGGTAATAGAAAATAAATCATTTTCCCCAGTACATAACTTTAACGGTATTTCTATGCCAATCCAATAAAAATAAAACTGTGGTAATTCAGTTCCAACTGTTACCAATAGAAAGAAATTTCCAAAAGTTTCGAATTATTAACTAAGTATCATTAATAATATTCGTCTTTTAAATTCGATTATGCAACTGGGCAGAACCCAGGAAGGAAAGACTTGTTATGTAGAAAATAAAACTTAAATATTTCGTTCATTATAATTCTGTAATTAAAAAGTGAAAAATTCGTTTAGTGGGGGCCGGAGTCCAACTGGTTCCACTCGGCACTGCGGCCACTGATTGGCCTATTGTAGCCTGCCCCGGGTGATTGTGATGATGGAAAATTTGGTGGAATGATGATTGGCAGGGAAAACCAAAGTACTCGGAGAAACCCCCTCCCCAGCGCCACCTTGTCCACCACAAATCCCACTTGACCTGATCCGGGATTGAACCCGGGCCACCGCGGTGGGAAGCCAGCGACTAACCGTTTGAGCTATGACACGACCAAAAACTGAAGAAAGTATTACTTACCATTCTGACAAGAAATTAAATATTCAGTAGAAACTAAGACCGAACACCCCGTTAACGAGAACCTGGATTGTCGCTGCTTGGAACACAGATGAGTAATGAGTAAAGTGTACTGGCGTTACAAGTATTACAGCGCTCTGCCCACATGGGAAACACCGCTGTTTCCGAAGTAACTGTATTTCTCTGTGCGTTGTTGTCGTGAAAACAATTTAACTGTGTGTTGCCTAGGGAGGGATTGCATAACACCGTTGTTAATTCCTTAACTTCACAGCAACGGCTCTAAACGTTATTTTTAATGATTTCTTTGCCTAGCAACGGATTTATACGCCAAGTAATCGAAGAAGTGACATTCCAGGCTCTCATTACTGGAGTGTTCAGACTTACTCCTTTATTGAATATTAATTGTTATGTAGAAAATAAAAATTAAATAACTAATTCATTTTAATTCTGTAATTAAAAGGAGAAAGGTGGATATTAATAAAGTTTGGGAAACTATTAGATAGAATATAAAAATTTCAGCCAATGAGAGTCTAGGTTTTATGAACTTACGAAGTATAAGCCATGGTTCGATGAAGGATGCTTAAAATTATTAGACCAAAGAAAAGAAGCCAAATTGCAATGGTTACAAGACCCAAGCGAGTTAAATGAGAATAATCTGAACAAGACGTGAAACCAGCAGACATTTCAGGAACAAAAAGAGGGAATATCTGAAAGACAAAATTGATGAGCTTGCAGTGAACAGTAATAACAAGAAAATTAGAGACCTGTATAGAGGAATAAATGACTTTAAGAGGGGTTACCAGCCTAGCAGGAACTCGTTAAGGATGAGAATGGTGCTCTGCTTGCAAATTCCCGCAACATTTTGAATAGGTGGAAGAACTACTTCTCTCAGTTATTGAATGTACATAGGGTCAGTGATGTTAGGCAGACAGAAATGCACACAGCTGAGCCGTTAATACCTGATCCTAGACTTTCTGAGATTGAAATTGCTACTGCAAAATTGAAAGGGTATAAATCGCCATGTAGTGATCAAATTCTGGCAGAACTTATTCAAGCAGGAGGCGAAATATTACATTCTAAGATTTACAATCTAATTACTTCTATTTGGCATAAGGAAAAGTTCCCTGATTAGTGGAAGGAGTCTATTATTTTACCAGTTCACAATAAGGGCGATAGAACTGACTGTAATAATTATCGGGGATATCACTGATATCAACTTCATACACAATTTTATCCAATATTCTTCTCTCAATGTTAAGTCCATACATAGCTGAAATTACTGGGGATCATCAGTGTGGGTTTCGACGTAACAGAACAACTACAGATAAGATCTTTTGCATTCGTCAGATATTGAAGAAAAAATAGGAGTACAATGAGACATTACATCAGCTATTTGTAGACTTCAAGAAAGCCTACGATTCAGTTAGGAGGGAAGTATTGTACAATATTCTAATAGAGTTTGGGATACCCATGGAACTAGTTAAGCTGATTAAAATGTGTTTAAACGAAACTTATAGTAAAGTCCGTATAGGTAAACATTTCTCCGATAAATTTACTATCCAGAATGGACTAAGACAAGGAGATGCTTTATGGCCAATCCTCTTCAACTTTGTTTAGAATATGCCATTGGGAAGGCCCAGGAAATCCAGGTGGGACCGAAATTAAATGGGACACATCAGCGGTTGGTCATGCTGATGACGTGAATCTACTGGGTGATAATATATATACCATAAAGAAAAACACACAAACTTTAAATGACGCAATTAAGGAGGTTTGTCTAGAAGTAAACAAAGAGAAAACAAAGTATATGTTGCTGTCTCGTCAACAAAATGCAGGGCAAAATCATGACATAATAGGAATATTTTGAATATTTTGAAAATGTGGCACAGTTAAGATATTTGGTAACGACGATGACATATGAAAACCTGATTGAGGAGAAAATTAAGCGGATATTGAACTGGGGCTATGCTTTCTACCATTCAGACCAGAATATTTTTTCTTCTCGTCTGCTGTCCAAAAACATAAATATTAGAATATACAAAACTATAATTTTGCCTGTGTTTTGAATGGGTGTAAAACTTGGTCTCTAACATTAAAGGAAGAACATAGACTGAGAGTGTTTGAGAACAGGGTGTTGAGGAGAATATTTGGACCGAAGAGAGATGAAGTGAGAGGAGGTTGAAGAAACTGCATAATGAGGAGCTTCGTAACTTCTATTCTTCTCCAAGTATAATTAGAATGATCAAGTCAAGGAGGATGAGGTGGGCAGGTCATGTAGCACGAATGGGGGCGACAAGGAATGCGTATAAGATATTGGTGGGAAAGCCATAAGGAAAGAGACCACAGGGAAGACCAAGGCGTAGGTGGGTGGACAATATTAGAATGGATCTTAGAGAGATAGGATGGGATTATATGATTGGATTGATCTGGCTCAGGATAGGGACCAGTGGAGGGCTCTTGTGAAGATGGTAATGAACCTTAGGGTTCCATAAAATGCTGGGAAATTCTTGAGTAATTGTAGATTTGGCTTCTCCTCAGGAAGGGCTCAACTCCATAAGTAAGTAAGTATGTGTGTAAGGGGTGGGTCATAAAAACCTGCCCCCGCATTGCGAATTTCAAAGATCTATTGTGCTTAAGTAAGTAATTAAAAGGAAACTAATACTTACCATACTGGCAAAAAATGTAATATTCAATAGAACACGCCGTTTATAGGTGCCTGGAATGTCTCTTCTACGAACACAGATGACGAATAAAACTGGGTGTTTTGCAACTTTTTCTAGGCAACAAGTAGATGTACATTAACTTATACAGTTCTATGCCCACATTGGAAACACCGCCGTTTCCAAAGTAACTGTATTTCTCCGTGCGTTGTTGTCGCGGAAACAATTTAACTGTTTGTTGCCTAGTTGTGGATAACATCGTTGCTTATTCGTTTATTGCATAGCAGTGGCTGTAAACGTTGCTTGCTTACCTAGCAAACGGATTTATACGCCAAGTAAACATTATTCATTACTCATCTGTGTTCGAAGTAGGGACAATCCAGGCTCTCGTTAACGGGGTGTTCGGACTTATTTTCTATTGAGCAATTTATTTCTTGTCAGAATGGTAAGTACTACTTTTTTCACTTTTTAATTACAGAATTATAATGATCGAAGTATTTAAGTTTTATTTTCTACATAACAAGTCTGCCCTTCCTGAGTTCTGCCCAGTTGCAAAATCAAAATTAAAAGACGAATAATATTTAAGATACTTATTTAGTAATTCGAAGCTTTTGGCAATTGATTCCTATTGGTAACATTTGGAAATGGATTTCCACAGTTTTATTTTTATTGGAATGGCATAGAAATACCGTTAAATTTATATACTGGGGAAAATTATTTCTTTGCTATTAGCGACTGTGGTTAAAATTCATTAAGTCAGAATCATCGGTATAAGGAACTTAATGCAGGTTGAATTTCCCTGGATGGCAAGGCAAAAAATTCCCCCCCCAAAAAAAACTTGAGGTACACGGCGAGGTTGAATGTTCAATTTTTACTTGAAGTTTTCTTCTTGTGAGCGTGTATGTGACATGCGTTTAAGAAGAGAATGGTTCGGAATCTAGAATATTAATAGCTAAAAAGAGATTTACACAATTTATGATGAAGAAGATCAGACTGCAAGGCTGCCAGAGTGTGAATTGACTTCCCAGTTGCGTGGGTTGTGAACTGTGTCATGTGGAGCTGCAGAAATAATAAAAAATGTAGCAGTTCGGTCAAAGAGGCGCAGAACAAGACCACTCATATGCCATTCCTGTACTGTCTGGATACTGACATTTTCATAAAATAATAACATGGTATTTTGATGGGGCATATAAAATACTGTTACGCGTAGGAGGGAACGCGTGACGAAATGACGGGTTCTAGTTCGGGTGATTGGATTTCTTGACAGCTTGGTTACACACACTCTCTTGATCGCACTCTAACAGAGCGCTATCACTGACTTACATACACCTCATAATCCACTGCTGCACGCACCGTCGCACATATAAATTTTTCTAAATCGCAGTTGACATCCTCACAGGCGACCTTCTGTATCCTTGATCTGCTTTGGTTGCTTCCTCCACTCTCAAATGCTCGTAACTCATACTCGTACTGATACTCAATACTGGCTCGACAAGTCAAAGTCATATTGCGACTGACGGTCTGTCATCAGTCAGTAAGTCTTGGTGTCGAGCCCCATGTGGGGCTCATGATCAGATATTAATTATTACCGTTTTACGGTTACGGTCTTGTTTCGGTGGGGCGCCTTCTCTGACGAGAGAACGGGTCTGTCTTTTGTATATGCTGCTGGCCCTTGCCAGCGCAGTGTTTCTCGGCTCCGGGTCCCTTGGGACTCACTTCCCTATTTTACTGTCTCAGATTTGAGACTTCCATTTTCGTCGTCTCCTAGGACTCGCAGGGTCACGGTGGAGGTATTCGATCCCGTCTCTACACGGGGTTGGCTCAACACTGACGAATACTCTCGTTATGTAGCTTCCTCACGGACCTCACAGTAATCAGCCTATTGCCCAGCAACTGACTCCATAGACAATACACTGCTACTCCTCGACAGATATCAGGTATTGTTGTCAGGAGTGTTTACCCACGCATTGCCTAGCTATAGACACCCTACTGTTGCAAGACATCACAGCCTAGTGGGGAGGGGTGTTTACCGAGCGTCGCGCAGCAACGGGATGAGTGGGGGTATGTAACGTCACTCGCAATTCCTGTTGCGCCACCAAAGCTTTCACAGAGTTGTCGCCTCGCAACGCGCCGATACAATCCGCAAGTCTCACGTGCGGGCGTGACCCGAGGCCTCTGTGGCTCAACAGTTCCTGCATAGAGCAAATACGCCACAGTACTCTTGTTTCAGCGTGAATGTATCTCAGTCCATATTGGGCAAGCTGGAGTGCAGATTGGCAATGCTTGCTGGGAGTTGTACTGCCTTGAACATGGTATTCAGCCTGACGGTCAAATTATATCTGACAAGACTCTTCATGGAGGCGGTGATAACAGCTTTAACACATTCTTTAGTGAGACAAGTGCAGGAAAATTTGTT